CTCCGCTGTCCTCGGGTCTCTTGCTCCTGTTGCTGTTGCAGTCGAGACCGTTGCTGCTGCTGCTGCTGCTGCTGCTGCTGTTGCTTCTGATGCTGCTGCTGCTGCTTCTGCAGCTGCAGCTGCTACTGCTGCTGCTGCAGCAGGGTCCTCCTTCAGCCCATCCTCTATCAGCGAAAGCAGATGCTGGGGGGCCCCCTCCATCAGCAGCCACACAACCTCACGCAGCAGCTGCATGCGGTCCCCCTTTGCTTCGAGGCGTTTGGTTGGAGGAGAGGGGCCCACGGTTGGCCTGCCGGCAGCAGCAGCATCAGCAGCAGCAGCAGCAGCAGCAGCAGCAGCAGGACAGGGGCCTCCCCCACCAGAAGGGGAGCCCTTCTCCCGTCTTGGCTCCTGCTGCTGCTCTGGAGGAAGTCCTAGCTCACGGACGAGCAGCTGTTTCGTTGCTTCTGCTGCTGCTGTTGCTGCTGCTGCTGCTGTCGTTGCTGCTGCTGCTGCTGCTGCCTGGGCCCCCCCTCCAGTACGAGATGGGGGGCCCCCCGTTTCGGGGGCCCCCCTGGGTAGAAGGGGAGCGAATACGTTTGCTGCTTCTTCAGCAATGAAGACGTCTGTGGGGTACTGGCGCCGCAGGGTGACGAGGATGGCTATCTGCGAGGCCCAGTCTGCTGCAGTGACACTGGAGCCGTCTTGCTTCTCGTATAGATGCAGCACAGGCACAGAGAGAGAATCCATACAACTTTCATGCTGCTGCTGCTGCTGCTGCTGCTGCTGTTGCTGCTGCTGCTGCTGGTGTTGATGCTGTTCTTTCTGCTGAAACTCCTGCTCCGACTCCTGCTGCTGCTGTTGCTGCCGCACCAAGCCCTGCATGCGTACCTGCAACTCCAGCACCTGCAGCAGCAGCGCATGCAGGAACTGCTGCTCAGCAGCCCATGGCTTACCAGCATCCTCTCCATACAAATGCCCCCCCCCTGTTGCTGCTGCAGCACCGCAGTGCCTTCGCTTGCCGTTCAGCTGGCTGGGCCAGGGACGCAAGAAGGAGTTGAAAAGGGGGCCCCCAAGGGGCCCCCCAAAAGTGCCTCCAAGGGGCCCCCCAAGGGGGCCCCCGGAGGGGCCCCTAAAGGGCCCCTCAGTGCTCTGGTAGGCCCTCGGGGATCGAACCCGGGGGCCCCCCAACGTTCTGCTGCTTAAATTGCTGGGCCCCCCATACCTGTAGGGGGTGCCGCCCCAAGGCAGCAGCAGCAGCAGCAGCAGCAGCAGGGGATATGCACACCTCCAGTAACACCGCAACACATGCAGCTGTATCTGCTTCGAGCCAACGACAGGCAGCCCCCGCATCAGCCAGGCAAAGCAGAGCTCAGCAGCAAATCAAAGAACTTGCTGCTGCTGCTGCTGCTCCGCCTCTAACACCGCAGAGAACGCGACACCCCCGAATAAGAATTTGTTCTCTCCCACCGCAGTTTGTGTGTGTCCAGCAGCCACCACGCAAAGGAAGAAAAGGCATGCATGCATGCATGCGTCTCAGTCTATCAACAGAAAAGAAACACATCAGCAGCAAGGCTGCACGCAGTAGAGGGGAGAGAAGACCCTCCTAAATACGTCTTCTCTCGACGCCGGTGATCATCAGAAAGGGCAGGAAGCAATCCGCTGCATAGACCGGGGAGACCCCCCTGCATGCACACTCCTGCAAGGCAATAGAGTAAACACCAGGTAGCAAACAGACAAACAAAAAAAAAACATCTCTTCGACTGTACATTCCTGAAAGGGGGGGCCTGGGCCCCGGGGCCCCCGCAGGGAGGGACCTCGAGCTCGACGCGTTGTATTCGAGGAAAAACAGAGAACCCCCCCCACACTGCATGCATACAGAGGGATGTTTCAGCATGAACAGATAAAGCTTAACCTTTTTTATTCATTTCTTATGTATTCACGTTTATTTCGGTAATGCATATAAGCAGACACCACCGCTCTTCGCGCCGACGACAGCTGCAGGTCCTGCTGAGATAGGCGGTGTAGATTCATAAGATCTCAACTCTAAACAAATTCAACAATAGAAATACATTTTTATATTACTTGGTTTGTTGTAATTAGAAGAAGTTCATCAGCTCTGCAGAAAACGCCAAACGGGGAGAAACAGCTGCGACGCCACACTAAGCGTTAGTAGTCCAACGGTTAGGATACCTGCCTTCCAAGCAGGCGACCCGGGTTCGACTCCCGGCTGACGCATTCTTTTTTTTTGTTTTTTCCTTTTCAGTATTTGTCAGTTTTCTGTGAAGATAAATGCATTTCTTCTCTTTTTAAGAGTGAGCGCACCACGACACACAAGAGCATAGTGGTGCTCGTCGCGCTACCACTGGTAAACTAGGGATGCAGCTGAAAACAAAAAATATTATGTTGTAAATCAATCAATGCGTCAGCCGGGAGTCGAACCCGGGTCGCCTGCTTGGAAGGCAGGTATCCTAACCGTTGGACTACTAACGCGATGGCTCCGGGACCTCTTGCCCCGGCGTCTGTATAATCCGTGGGACTGTTTAGTGTAATATTTAGTGACCCAGGAGTGGCCACTAAAGTATATTTGAAAATTTTGATTAGGCGTTCACCCAGATTTTAATTAATGTACGGGATCTAGTTGCGTAGAAGGGCAGTGGCATGCGTGTTCTCGTCCGGGTATCTGTGAAGTTAGCGCATGAATTTCTCTTTTTCC